TTGATTTGTTTTTCATGATTTTCTTTCATCGCTCTCATTTCTCTTACCAGTTTTTCCTCTACTTCTCTTATTTGCTTCTCAAAATCCCTTTTGAGCTCTTCCAAGACCTGGGAGCAATTCATATCTTTCTTGGGGGCTTTGAATATAGGAGCTCTGACTTTGTTGTTTTCTTCTGGTTGTATGTTTTGATCTTGTTTGTCACCAAAGTAAGATAATGTAGTCTGACTCTTTTTTCGAGGTTTGCTCATGATCCCAGCCAATTACTTGAGTTTTAAACTCTTTGTTGAGGTAAAAGTCTGCTTCTAATGTGAAGAGTGTACTGTCCCAAACTTCGGGGGTTTGTACAGTTGTTTTCAGAGCTACTTCTAGGGACCTGTAAATTTTCAGTTCTTCCAAGGTGGTATGATAAGGGGCGAGGTGTTTCCTCTCCACCACCACAACAAGCTCCACCATGCCAGCACTCCTCCTTGCCCCAGGACCGCCCCCTCAGAACTGTGACCCAGATCCAAGCATGGGAAAAGCAAGAGATTCCTGCCTCAGCACCGGCAAAGAGATTCCTGCAATCCTCCTCTAATCAGCCACTCGATTCCCCCTCAGTCTGTGGGTCGGAATCTCAGGAAGCAGCCACTGCTTCTTGAGGCTGAGATCTAGCCTCTCTCTCACCGCTGACACAGACTTTTCCCACTGACCTTCTAAGTTGTCTTCTGTGTTCGTGAGTTGAGAAGTCTGGAAACTGCCACAGCTGCCCGCGCTTCAGTCCTCTGAGGCCTGCTCCACGGTCACTACAGCCTGCGCGCCCATGCCGAACTGCGCTCCTTTCCCGGCCTGGTGTGATATACCTTTCAGATCAACCATCCAGGCTGTCTTCGGCTGGAAATTTGTTTCACTCTGTCTTTTTGTGGGTTCTGCTGCTTTAGAATTTGTTTAGAACCATTTTTTATAGGTATTTGGAGGGGTTTGGGGGAGAGCTCAAGCAAGTCACTGCTTTCCCTCTGCCATCTTGGCTCCGCCCCCATATTTTATCTTTTAATAGCACAATAATTCACACTTCTCTGGTATGAAGGAAGGGACAAAATTTTAATGCAGATTTTCCTGATCAAGGTGGTGCCACATGCCTAACCCTTTCAATGTGGAGGGGATAACTCTATGTGCTTTGGAAAAATCAGTTGGTCAGTCAGTCAACAAGCATTTATTTTTTACTATATGCCAGATAATCACTGGGGAAAGGCAAAATTAGTCATTGCCCTCAGAAGGCTCATGTACTAATGGGTGAGCCAACATGCAAAGAACTAGGTAAATAGAAAGTATATTCAGAATAGATGGGGAAGGGATAGAGAGAGGCTAATCTTAGAGGCGAAGGCACAAGCAGCTTGTTAAAACGTCTCATGCAAAAGGTTGGATTTGATCAGAGTATTCAAGGGAAGAAAGGAAACTAAAAGGTGGGGGTGAAGAATAGAACATTCTTACCAATACAAAGGGAGGGAGTCAGACATGGAATGTCATGTTTGAGGAATGACAAGTAGATCAACATCACTGGATTGTAGAGCTCAAGGAGAGAAGAAAAGTTTAAGACTAGAAAAGGAGCTGGGTTATGAAGAGTTTTAAATGTCAATGAAAGCATCTTATATTTGATCCTGGAAATAATAGGGAGCCATTGCTGTTTCTTGAGTAGGTGATTGACATAGCCAAACCTGTGTTTTAGAAAAATCATTTTGGTAGCTGAGTGGAACATGTACTAGAGGGGAGAAACTTTTAAAAATAACATTGTAGTGCTTACTATATGTATCTAGCCCTGGTCTCTCTCCTGAGCTCCAGTCCCACACTTTGGGGCACCTTGACCCAATTGTCCCTTAGACATCACAAACTCCGTATGTCCAAAACTGAACTCATTCTCTCATCCCACAAGCCCTCTTCCACAATTCCAGGTTGTTGTTGAGAGCACCACCCCTCCCAGTCACCCCGGCTTCAGGAGGGACGCCATCTTCAGCTCTTTACAATTGTTATCTCATTTACTCCTCACAACAACCCTGGGGGGGTAGGTGCTATTAGCCTCTTTTTACAGATGAGGAGGAAGAAACTGAGGCAAGCAGAAGTTAAGTGACTTACCCAGGGTCACACAACTAGTAAATGTCTACGGCCAAATTTGAACTCAAGTCCTCCTGACTTGAGGCCAGGTGGTCTATTCACTGCACCCCCTGGAAATCATTAAGCACCCTATTCAACAGTCCAGGCAAGATGTGCTGAGGGCCTGAATGGGGCATGGCTGTAAGAGTGGAAAGGAAGGGATGGATATGAGAGTCGGTGTGGAAAAAATGACAAGATTTGACAGCTGAGTAGATATATGAGAGGGGTGAAAATGAAGAGCTGAAGATGGTGTCCCTCTTGAAGCTGGGGTGACTGAGAGGGGTGGTGCTCTCAATAACAATCTGGAATTGTGGAAAAGGTGAGGGTTTGTGGGATGAGAAAATGAGTTCAGTTTTGGACATACTGAGTTCATGATGTCTAAGGGACAATCGGCTCAAGGTGCCCCAAAGTGTGGGACTGGAGCTCAGGAGGGAGACCAGGGCTAGATACAGAGATCTTGGATTCACTGAACCCAAGGGAACCGATTTCAAGATAGCAAAAACACACCTCTCTTTCTCTTTGCTCTCTCACTGTCTCTGGGCCACACCTTGACTTATTGAGGAAAATATCACTTGTTCTTGGAGGGGCAAGTTCTCTTTTCTCACTCTCAAACCTTACATTCTATGTGCTTGGACACAAAGCATAATAAAAGATAACATTTGTAAAGCACTTTATGGACCTCAAAGTGCTACATAAATGCTAGCTATTATTAAAAGAAATCATGGTTGAATTAGCAGCTCTAAGTACAAAAAATAAAAAGAGGAAAACAATCACTTCATCTTACAGGCTGCCAGAGGGAGGTGGTACTTGGTTCCTCTACTTTCCTCCTTTCTTCTTCCTCCTGCTTCCCAACAAAGTGGGAAAGATATGGACTGACAGCCACAGGGAAGAGATGGCAGTCTCCCTAGGCTAGCTCTTGGTAAGGAGCAAAGGGAAACAGAGGTATGATAGGCTCTGCATGTCTGAGTATCTAACCCTCTTGTTGCTTCCACCATTAGCTCCTAGCAGCATTGATCAGTCCCTCTCCTTGGCTCCCATTCTCCAGAGATCCTGGAGGGGGCTCTGCCCTGCTCCTTCATCAGTCTGCGATAGCTGCTGCTTCTCTCCTGCAAAATGGGGTCCTTACCCCTTGTAATCACTTTGTCTCATCTATGGAAGTTTGTCCCTCCCTCAAGCCACCCAAAACTGGAAGACCTTGAAGCCCAGGTGGTTGCATTCTCCCACCTTTTAGTCCTTGGACTCTTCATTGGCCTGTGGAGGAGTGTTCTTTATATATGACCTTTCCTCAGCACCCTGTCATTTGTCACCCTAACAAGATACTCCATCTCTCAGCTCTGGTCACTTTATCTGGCAGTCCTCCATGCCTGGAATGTTCTCCCTCCTCATCTCCACCTTTTGGCTTCCCTGACTTCCTTCAAGTCCCAATTAAAATCCTCCCTTCTATAGGAAGCCTTCCCCAATCCCTCTTAATTCTAGTGCTTTCCCACTGTAGATTATTTTCTATTAATTCTGTCTATAGCTTGTTTGTACATTGTTATTTACATGTTGTTTCCTCCATCAGACTGTGAGCTCCTCAAGGGCAGGGACTGTCTTTTGCCCTTCCTTTGTATTCTCAACACTTTGCACAGTGTTTAGCACATAGTAGGTGCTTAATTAATGCTTGCTGACTGACTTGGCAAGCTATTACACCAGAGCTGCCAATCCCCCCTGAACACCCCATGCAACATCCACTTTGGGTGCCCACCTAAACACAGCTCTCAATTGTGACTACAAGAAACCACAGCATGTATAGCAGTCACAACCTGGTAAAACCTCTTCTGGCAGATGGGCTAAACCAAGCTGAAGGTAACCAACAGGCCTCAAACTTGCTGAAGAGTTGGGGGATGTCTACCCCAAATAGGTGAAGACTTCTCCCAGCAGAATGGGTAGATGAGAGCATTTTGTTCCAATGGCCAAGAAGCAGGTGCTGTGGAGAGCTTAGAGCTTTACCAGACATCAAGGATGCTAAGGTTATCCACTAAATCCTGGGCCATTGCCAGTTTCTTGACTTTTGTCTTGCCACTAGACTTTGATGACTCTGGAAGAGAGTTGAGGCTGACAACTCTGAGCAACTCTGCCTCACTTAAATCCAGTTCATGTGCAAGTCAAGACATTACCCCATGATGTCACTGGTTCTCTGAAATCAAGTATGAACAACTGACTAACCTTCCCCTCTTCCTAACCTGTGTCATCTTTGATTCTTCACTCTCTCTCCATATCATTAGTTCCCAAATCCTACCATTTCTCTCTTCCTAACATCTCTTGTATAAGCCCCTTCTCTCCTCTGATACTGTCACCACCCTGGTGCAGGTTGTCATCACCTCACACCTGAACTATTGAAATAGTCTATAGTCTGCTGCTGGTTGATGTCCTAGCCTCAAGCCTTTCTGCTGTCCACTCTCAAGTCATCTTCCACTCAGCTGTGAAATCTTTCTCAAGTTCAGGACTGCCCATGTCATCCATTCCCTTTTCCATTCCATCAAGTACAGTGACCCCCTATTTATTGCTTCCAGGATCAAATAAAAAATTCTCTATTTGGCTTATAAAGCCCTCCATAACCTTCTTCCTTTTTATCTTTTTCTTACACTTTTTTCTCTTCTTTGCCCCCCCCCCAATACTCTGCAATTCAGTGACACTGGTATCCTTGCTGCGTGACCCTGGACAAGTCACTTAAGTGTTGTCTGCCTCAGTTTCCTCATCTATCAAATGGGTTAATAATAGTACTCACCTCCAAGGGTTTTTGTAAGGATCAAATGAAATAATAATTATAAAGGGCTTAGCACATAGTATGTGCTATATAAATGTTCGCTTTTATTATTCCTCTTTCTTTCTAACAGGGCAATATTTTAGAGAAGCTGGGAATCTGCTCGATGCCAAAATTTATCCGTTTTCTGCATGACAGTATTCCAAGAAAGAAGGACCCTAATGTCGTGGTAACTGAACTGCGCATTGGGACGATACCTGTGAGGCTATATAAGCCAAAGGCACCATCTGGAAGACCCCGTTGTGGGATCATCTTTTTCCACGGAGGCGGTGGCCTATTTGGGAGCCTGAGTAAGAAAGGATTTCCCTTTTGATTAATAAAGGAGCAGAACCATGAGTGGCCCAACCTTTTCCCAAGGCTTTGTTCTCCATGTGTGTGTCAAATAGTGAACGTGCATGTCTGAAAGTGCTGCTTTTCACAAGGACTTCGTATACAGCAGTTTTTAAAACCATATACCGCCCCCCCCGCCAAGGTTTCAGACTTGATATGTTAGGTGACTCAACTCGATTTTAAGCCTTGATCAAAGAAAAGACAAAAAGTCTGTAGGGACAGTAAGTGTGACTTCTGCCATTACTTCCTGACCTGGTGTATGTAGGCAGTCATTATGATCTTGTTCATTCATTCCTCCCATGCATTTCTTGCAAATAGGGGACATTCCCACCTGAGACAGAAGGTGATTTAGTCACATGGTCCAAAATACAAGTACTTATATACTTTGTCTCATGGGATCATAGAATTTAGTGCCAGAAGGAACCTTGGAGATCTTCTTACATGAGGTTCTTAACTTGGGGTACTTAAACTTGTTTCTAAAAATATTTTTTTGACTGTTATTTCAATAAAATCAGTGTCCTTTGTAATCTAAATATTTTATTTTATACACTTAAAAATATGATTCTGAGAACGGGATACATAGGCTTCCCCAGACTGACAGAGGGTTCCAGGGCTCCCAGATGGTTAAGAATTCCTGTTCTAGGGGCAGCTAGGTGGTGTGGTGGATTGAGCTCCAGCCTTGAAGTCATGAGGACCTGAGTTCAAATGTGGCCTCAGACACTTGATACTTACTAGCTGGGCCTGGGCAAGTCACTTAACCTCATTACCTAACCAAAAAAGAAAAACAGAAAGAATCCCAGTTCTAGTGTAGCTTCTCTCCCCAGTTTTACAAAACAGGATCCCTGCTTAAGTCCCTTTTAATCGATTTATAATCATGAATTTGTGTATTTATGGGCTTATCTTTCTCTACGATAGATCATGATCTGCCTTAGAAGCCACTGAAATCGTAATTGGGAAATATCAAATTGTTACTTCTCGTGGGTGATTAGCTCAGAGGTTATCCTTTCCAAAGGGGAGAAAGGTGTCCTAGCTTTGACACTTAGCCCAATAACTCCCTAAGCAAAATGAGGGCAAAAGGTTAGGAGAATTAACAAGCAATCTCTTTCATCTTGCCATCTTCCTCACTTCATTATACTAGAGTCAATTATTCAGCCACCTTACCCACATGTCGGGCTGAACTCTACACCAAGAAAAATGAGCAAATCCTAACCAACTCCTCTGGGGCCTCAGAAGATGTGAGATTTCCACTCACTGACTAATGGAAAAGTGGAAGAACTGAGTTAAAACAGTTGGTTGGCAGATATTAATTTCAAACAACCAATTAGACTCTAAAAAAACATCAAAAACAACCCAGTTGTCTGAAAAGACCATAAGGTATGACTGGATATTTTAGGATCATATCAAGAGCATCTCAGGCAACATCCTTGTAAAGAAACAAAACATAGAGAGGGTCATGGAAAGAGAGAATGACTCACAGATGTTCCCTGACAGAGGAGAGCAGATAGGGAAGTAATGAGCAGAGAGGATACACATGATCTGCACAAGGGTTAAAGCTGGGGGATACAAAAGGAGAAGCATGGGAGGTAGGGTAGTGCTGGGAGAGGTAAGTCAGCTCCCAGATCCTACTGAAAACCCTTCCTTTTCCAGAGCTTTACAACAACCTGTGCTGCTACTTGTCCAGGGAAAGTGACTCCGTGGTTATGTCTGTTGGGTGAGTAAGAGATTTTCCTATAGGTAAGAGGGGTCAGGGGACAGGCAGATGTTCTGGGAAGCAGAAAGAGGAGGAAGAAGGGCCTGTAATTAATCAGAGAGGGAGAATCCCATTTTCCAGATATTATAGACTCATAGGCTTTTAGAGGTGGAAAAGACCCAAAAAGGAATCCTTACACAACACGCCTTCCAGGGAGGAGTGTGTCAACCACCAATGCTTGAGACACTCCATGACCCTTTTTGATAGCTCTGGTTGTTAGAAAGTTTTTCTTGATCTCAAGCCTGTCAAATTGTTACTTCTCCTGGGTGATTAGCTCAGAGGTTATCCTTTCCAAAGGGGAGAAAGGTGTCCCAGTAACTCCCTAAGCAAAGTGAGGGCAAAAGGTTAGGAGGATTAACAAGCAATCTCTTTCACCTTCCACCCATTGCTATTACTTCTGTCCTTTGGGATCAAACAGGAAAAATTGAACCTCTTTTCCATATGATAGTCCTCCAGATGATTAGAGAGCAATCATGTCTTTCTAGACTCTTCTCTTCTCCTTGCTAAACATTCCAAGTTCCTTCAGCAAATCCTCATGAGAAATAGACTCGTGTCCATCACTATCCTGGTTGCAGTTCCCAGAATTGAATACAACATTTCAGATATCACATTAGGGTTTTTGGGTTGCTATAACACACTGTCACTATAACACATCCACTAAAACCCTCAGATCATTTTCAGACAAACTGTTTTCTAACCATGGCTCCACCATTTTGTACTTTTTCTTTAGTGTAAAAATTATCTACAGCTAATTGTCTGTATTAGTTATTTACTTTTATTTTAAAAATTCTGAACATAACAAATCCCAGATAAAATGAGAACTGGCATAAACAAAATATAACAAGAAAGAAGATTATACATGAAACTGTGAATTTCTTACAACATAGCTTATTTTCCTTGCAAGTATAAAATAAACTCAACATATAATCTTTTTTAAAGAATCAATTTTCTTTTTTTGTTTTTATCTTTTTTACTTTAGACTTAAATACGAAAACTTAAATGCACAATAAGAAAAGAAAAAGAAACATATTATAAACTTATATATTAAAACTTAAATACAAAATAAGAAAAGAAAAAAACATCGTGTGCACAGCAGAACATAAGAGAGGATTTAAAATATGTAGCAATAAATTTCCATTTCAAGAAAGCAAGCCTATATAATACTACGCATTGTGTTGAGAGCTGTCCATCTTTTCTTTGCTTCCTTGTAAGTTTTCTTTTGTTTTCTGCTATGCACCTTTTACTTTATTCTTTTTCCCTTGCTCTTAGCTCTGTAAGTGCCTGATCTAGGTTTTGATCTGAACAGCAGTAGACTATTGCTGGACCCAGTCACAATCAGTCACCTGGAAAACTGTCAGGTCTGAAATTCTTGCTCTGGCTATTCCACTGCAGGTTTCAGAGTCACACTGCTACAGTATGCTTCTAAACCTGCTCCTTTCTTAGTACAGTGCCCAGGGCCAGTACCAAAATTTTTAAATATAGCCAAAACAGTACTTGGGGGGAAATTAACATCTTTAAACACTTTCATGAGTAAAAGAAAGAATGAACAGATTGATGAACTAGGCAAGCAACTAAAAAAAATTCTAGAAAAACATCAAATTAAATGTTTCCAATTAAGCACCAAACTCTTAATGAGGTGGTGGGAAATAAACAAATGAAACAAAACTTATTTTAATAAATAAAATACAAAAAAATCAAAGAGATTGGTGAAATTTAAAGCAAAAAGTCACAAAATTAATAAATAAAACTAGGAGCTGTTTTTGTAAAAACCAATAAAATATATACATTAGCTAACTTGATTTTTGAAAACAGAAGGAAGAAAGTCAAATTACTAGTACCAAAAATGAAAAAAAAAAAAGGTGAATTCAGAAACAATGAAGAAGAAATAAAAGGAATTGTTAGGAACTATTTTGCCCAATTATGTGCCAATAAAACTGACAATCTAAATTAAACGGCTAAATATTTGCAAAACTATAAAATTCCAAGATGAACAGAACAAGAAATAGAGGGTACAAACGTATCTTAGAAAAAAAAAGATGAAGCTAAATAAGCCATAAGTGAACTTCTAAAGAACAAAAAAAATCCGAGGCCAGATGAATTTAGAAATGAATTCTATTGGACACTTGAAGAACAATTAATTCTAAAACTATATAAACTGTTTGAAAAAATAGCAGAAGAGGGAATCCCATCCTATTTCTCCTATAATACAAATAAGGTCTTGATTCCTAAACCTGGGAAAGAAAAAATAGAGAAAGAAAACTATAGACCAATGTCCCTAATGAATGTTTATGCAAATTTTTTAAATAAAATATTAGAAGAGAGACTAGAGCAATATATTATAAAGATTTTACACTATGACTAGGCTGGATTTATAGCAAGAAAACAGAACTGCTTTAATATTAGAAAAACTCTAAAAACAACTGACCACATTAGTAACAAGAATAACAAAACTCATGATTATATCACCAGATCAGAAAAAGTTAGAAACTCATTTCTGTTAAAAACACTAGAAAGTATAAAAATAAGTCAATCTTTTCTTAGTATAAATAGTATCTATATAAAACTAAGAGTTAGGATTATCTCTACTAGGGATAAACTAGAGGATTTTCCAATAAGTTTGAGTAAAGCGAGAATGTCATTATTACCATTATTATTTGATGTAGTTCAACAAATAATAACTACAGTAAAAAGACAAAAAAAATAAATTGAAGGAATAATTATAGGCAAAGAGGAAACAAAACAATCACATTTTAGGGGGGCATGACCAAGAAAGGAATTTGTTTTGTTTGATGATACATGTTTGTAGCAGGGGTTTTATTTTTCTTCTTTTGTCATTTGGAGGTGAAGAGGTAGGAGGGAGAGAATATAGATGTGAAAATAAAATAAAACTTAATTTTAAAAATGCATGGATAATTGAAGTCCCTCATGCCTCCCAAAAGTGCAATGGATTTTTTTATCTGTTTCTTGAATTCATCCATTTTCTTTTTCTGTCCACGTGATCTTCAGAACTCTACAATGAAAATACGACTTTTGCTTATCACTCCATTGATTTGCAACTAAAAGCTAGGTCCATATCCTGTCTTTGATGCTTCATAGGCCTCAGTTTCCTCATCTCAACATGAGAGAATTGACCTAAATGGCCTCTGAGGTTGCTTTCAGCTCTATATTTATGATCCTAAGCATGCTCTTTAGCTTTAATGCCCAGATTTCCTCATGATACACTTTCTTAAAATACAATGCTACTATCTATTCTGTTTCCTTTGAAAAAAAGGCATACCCTTCTAGAGCCACATTTCAGCTATGAGTATCATCCTACAAAGTTATGATTTTTAAGTCAACACTTCTTCATTTGCCTGTTCCCATGTATCAAATCAAGTGGTTCTTGTTAATGGGGTGGTGCACTGGGGTGTACTGGAAAGAACATTTGGATTTGAAGTTATGTTAATTGGCTCTCATATTTCTCATATGACATTAATGCAGGGATTCTTAGTATTTTCTGGGTCATAGACCCTTTAGTTATTTTGGTGAATTTTATTGACCCTTTCTCAGAATAATGTTTTTAAATGCATGAATAATATACATAAGATTACAAAAAAACCAATTATATAAAAATATAGTTATCAAAATATTTTTTTAAAAAGTCCATGGACCCCAGGTTAAGAATTCTTGCTTTAGAGTAAGTCGCTAATTCTTTTTAGACCTCATTTTGCTCCTTTGAAAAATGAAGGAGTTGGCAATCTCTATGGCCCTTTCTCGCTCTGACAATCTATGATTCTTATGTAGAACACAACATTTTAAACCAGACCCTTAAATATAAGTGAAACTGATTTTATGACAAGGTATAATCCCATTTATCTCTTGATTCCTCTTTAGTTACCGCATGCTTCCTGACCACCGGTACCCGTCTCCATTTTATGACTGCATATCTACTACAATCCACTTTCTGAGAACCCTGGAAACCTTTGAGGTGGATCCATCTCGGGTCATCATGTGTGGAGACAGTGCTGGAGGGACAAGTGCAACTTCTGTTTGTCAAACCCTCGTGACCCAGCCAGATCTCCCCAAGATACGAGCTCAGATTCTGATCTATCCTTATCTCCAGGGATTTAATTTCCAGCTGCCTTCTTATCAACAGAACAAATATATCCCATTCCTTAGCTGGAATACTGTCATTTCTTGTATGTTCCGATATTTGGATATCCACCCCTCTTGGGAAACCACTATTCTGAATGGTTCTCATGTGCCCCCTGAGATGCGGAAGAAGTCAGAGGAAAGGATAAATGTCCGTAACATACCTGAGAGGTTCAAAGAGAGAGGCTACCAATACCTATCACCTGGCCCTTTTAATGAGATTGCTTACTTGGAAACCAAACAGATGTTGTGGACAGTAAATTCACCACTAATTGCTGACGATGATATCATTGCCCAACTCCCTGAGACCCTGCTTGTGAGTTGTGAGTTTGATATCCTACGGGATGAAGCGCTACTGTACAAGAAGAGGCTGGAGGACCAGGGGGTACCAGTGAGCTGGCACCACATTGAAGATGGTTTTCATGGAGTGATGCTCAGCTTTGACACAAAACCCTTCTTCTTCCCCTGCTCCTTAAGAATTCTGAATATTGTTGTCCATTTTATAAAGGATCTGTGAACCTCACTCCCAGGACTTTGAAGAAAAGAATGGCAATTCTTTGGACTTTCTGGACTTTGTCCAAAGCTGTTGAGCTTCATTTTACTGATTTAGGGGATAGGGCAAGTTCTGAATCTGAAGGGAGGAGACTGGGCATATAGTCCTGCCTTAGAATCAAGAATGCCAAAACAGTTTCTAACGGATAAATAGTTAAAGGAAGGTGGTTTGAAGTAGTGCCTGTTCACAGACATGGTGGTGGAAAGAGTAGGCTGGATAATGCTTGTGTTATCTTTTCTAAGTCTATTGGCAATATGGGCCATTCATATTAGGGATGCCCTAAGATGGATTGTGAGTACCCAGATGATTCTAGGGTGATAAGGTTCAGGTCTGACTGGAACATCTGCCTTCACTCTCTGAGCCTCTGGTGGCTGGGCCTATGAGTGACAAACTAGTCTATGACTGAGACTGGACAATCCCATGTGGCTTTGGAAGATGGAAAGACAGTATGCTCTTGACCCAGAGATAGTATATTGCTGTTGGGCTTATATTCCAAAAATATCAAAGAAAGAGGAAAAGGGGCCACAGGTACAAAAATATTCATAGCAGCTCATTTTTTTAATGCAAAGAACTGGAAGCAATACCAATTATGGTAAATAAATGTAATGGATTACTATTGTGATGTAAGAAATGTAAAAAGGAAGAGTTTCAGAGAAACCTTGGAAGATTTCTATGAATGAATGCAGAGCAAAGTGAGCAGAATCAGAGAACAATTTCTACTATAATAACATTGTAATGTATGATAACATTGTAAAGGGGAAAAAAAAAGCTTCGAAAGAATTGAGAAACCTGATCAATCCAATGACCAGTCATAATTGCAGAGGACCAATGATGAAACCTGCTACCTGCCTCCTGATAGAGAGGTTAAGATGTAGACATGCACATCTGGATATGGCCAACTGGGGTATTTATTTTGCTTAACTTAAATGTATTTGTTACAAAGTTTTTGTTTCAAGTGGTGGTATGGTAAAGAATGGAGGGCAAGGTTAAGGTTGCTTCAATAAATAAAGAACAAAAAAAGAAACAAAAAAGAATCATTGAAGCATTTTTAAAAAGTACATAGAGAGAAAAAGAAAGAAGACCAGAATGAGTCATAGATAAGGAGGTTGGCTTTGCAGGTTACATGTTGAATATGCTATTTACGTAATAGATTTACAGTTTTATATATAATTCTCTTCTGTTCTACTATGTGTATGGAAATGTTCACTTTATTTGGGGTTTGTTAAGCTCAGAATTTTTTAAAATTCCCCCAAATTAAAGAAAGATGGCATTTGAAGTTACCAAGGATGACAGGTAATAGTGTTAGTGAGGTGATTGGTTCAATATCTTCTAGATTAAATTGGATACATTCTATATTGCTGATGAGTATGGAGATATAGGGACTCACTCTACATCAGTGTTCAGAGTTTGGCTCTGAATCAAGCCATGTAGCTTTTCTAATCTGGGCACAAATCTTTCACAAAGTCCCAGACCAGAAAAAACAAAATCAGGTATAACAACTTGGTAACCTCTGGATAAATACTATCACATAAAGTAGTTTCATTGCCAGCCAATGGACAAAGGTTTTCTCTAAGTGGTAATTCTAAACCATGCCTCACCTTGTATACCTTTCTGAACCCCAGGTTTTCATTATCTGCAAACCTTATCCCATAATCTACAGGAAGGAAGACTATGAACTCTCCTTCCTTTAAATTTTAACATCTTCTAATGTGGCTACTTGTTGTTTTCCTTTTGGAGGTATGGTGAGGATGAGCTAACAGGAATAATTTTATGGTCCCAGATATACACTTAGTGAAACTGAAGGGGAAAAAGGCATTATGAAGTCCTAGGTGGTGGGTAGTTTATGGTAGCAGTCATTTTCAATATGGAGTGAGGCTTATTTCCACAAATATTATAGCACATCTGCAATCTCATAGATGCAAGTACTCCTTCCATTAGTGCAAATGGCATCCCATACATACCTTCATAGAATTTTGTTCTGGGTGATATTTGTCCATATTATCCCACGGAGGATCTCCACATAAAGGCTCTATCACTGGGTAGGTGGCAGAACTGCATGTCATAACTAGATCTTATTATGACAAATCCAGTGCTTTCCCCACTAACTAGGCCCCTAGGTGCTGTCATATTGCACAAAGCTTTGGGCCTGGAGTCAGGAAGACCTGAATTCAAATTTAATCTCAGACACTGATCCTGGGCAGGTCACTTCACCTGTATCTATTCAGTTTACTTGCCTGTAGAATGGGGGTGATAATAACAGCACCTACCTCCTAGGATTGATGTGAGGATCAAATGAAGTAATAATTATAAAGCACTTAGCACAAAATAGGTGCTATATAAATGTTACTATTATTATTATTTATATTCCAGTACTTTGATGCATTTATAAATTTATCAATGTGGGCACTCTCTCCAATGGTGCAAATTATAAGACATACATGTTGTACCCTCCTGTATGTTTTTTGTCTATGTTTCCATAAATAGTTTGAACAAAGAAGATTTACCAACCAACCTAGTTACACAAAAACCATCACAGATAGTGAACAGTAAGTAAAACCATTCATCTAAGCAAATAGTATACAGCAATCAGAAAAGTTATACAGAATATACTAGAAAATATACAAGACTGAATGAGCTCTTTAGATAGAAAAGAGATGAGACCAGATTAGCCAAAGGAGGTCCCCCAATTTCAACCAATAAATGCAAGCTAAAGAATATGGAACCATGTAAGACTTCTTGAAAAAAAAATGTCTCTTTATCTTCAAAACGCCAACTCTGCTCCTTACACAGGAATGAATTATATTTAAGCAGCAACATGCAAAATACCCTAGGTCTGGCTTAAAAGCCCAGTTATAGAGTCATACATGTCTTTGATAATTTTTTATTCCACTTCATATTTTTTATACCACTAGTAATATGTTGCTGCCTATGGTAAAAAGGCTAAAAAAGTAAAAAGCACTGGGCACAATGGTAGTTACTATATTCCTTTCCCCTGGGTTATTTACAATTTTGAGTCTTTTGAGATTGTGATTTTCTATGATTCGTAGCTATGAAGTATTGCAAAGGCAGGTTTTGGTAACAAATTCTAAAGCAGCAGAACTCATAAAAAGACAGAGTAAAAGAAATTTCCAGCCCAAGACAACCTGGATGGTTGATCTGAAAGGTATATTGTGCTAGGCGGGGAGAGGAACACAATTTGGCATGGGCACACAGGCAAAACAGGCCTCAGCAAACCTGGAGCAGCCCTCAGATGACTGAATCACAGGCAGCTGTGGTGGTTTCTAGACTTCTCAACCCATGAATGCCAAAGACACCTTAGAAGGTCAGTAGGAAAAGTCTGTGACTGTGGTGAGAGAGAAGCTCAGTCCCAGCCCCAGTCCCAGTGCGTGGCCCTGGGGTGGCGGCTACTTCCGAAGCTTCCTGCCCATAGACTCAGGGGAAATCAAGTGACTGATGAGAGGGGGATTGCAGGGATAGATCTCTTTTCTGGTATAGGATTCTTTTGCTTTGCCTGTGCTTGGATCTGGGTCACAGTTCTGGGAGGTGGTCCTGGGGCAAGGAGGAGTGCTAGTGTGGTGAAACTTGTAATGGTGGTGGAGTGGAAATCCTCCTCACAGTTCCAAGGCAGAAAAGAATGCTTGTGGTCACTCACAGACCAGAACCTAGGCCAGAAAAGGAGTAAACACTTTGCCCTTGATCATACCACCTTGGAACAACTGAAAATTTACAGGTCCCTAGAAGTATCTCTGAAAACAGTTGCACAAAACCCCTGAAGCTTAGGACAGTACATTCTCCACACTGGAAACAGACCCCTACCTTAAAAAGAGTTTATAACTCAAGTAATTGGCTGGGATCATGAGCAAATCTTGCAAAAAAGAGTCAGACCACAGATTCTTACTTTGGTGACAAAGAAGATCAAAACATACAACCAGAAGACAACAAAGTCAAAGCTCCTACATCCAAAGCCTCCAAGAAAAATATGAATTGGTTCAAGGCCATGGAAGAGCTCAAAAAGGATTTTGAGAAGCAAGTAAGAGAAGTAGAAGAAAAACTGGGAAGAGAAATGAGAGTGATGCAAGAAAATCATGAAAAATGAGTCAACACCTTGCTAAAGGAGACCAAAAAAAAAACCTGAAGAAAATAACACCTTAGAAAATAGCCTAACCCAAATGGCAAAAGAAGTCCAAAAAGCCAGTGAGGAGAAGAATGCCTTAAAAAGCAAAATTGGTCAAATGGAAAAGGAAGTCCAAAAGACTACTGAAGAAAATACTTTGTTAAAAGTTAGAATGGAGCAATTAGAAGCTAGTGACTTTATGAGAAATCAACACACTGAAAAACAAATCCAAAAGAATGGAAAATAGAAAACAATGTGAAATATCTCATTGGAAAAACAACTGATCTGGAAAATAAATCCAGGAGAGAGAATTTTAAAATTATTTGAGTATCTGAAAGCCATGATCAAAAAAAGAGACTAGACATCATCTTTCAAGAAATTATCATGGAAAACTGCCCTGATATTTTAGAACCAGAGGGCAAAATAAAAATGGAAAGAATCCACTGATCACCTCCTGAAAGAGATCCCCAAAGGAAAACTTCTAGGAATATTGTAGCCAAATTCCAGAGTTCCCAGGTCAAGGAGAAAATATTGCAAGCAGCCAGAAAGAAACAATTCAGGTATTGTGGGAACACAATCAGGATAACACAAGATTTAGCACCTTCTACATTAAGGGACCAGAGGGCTTGGAATATAATATTCAGGAGGGCAAAGGGGATAGGATTACAACCAAGAATCACCTACCCAGCAAAACTGAGTATAATCCTTCAGGGGAAAAAATGGACATTCAGTGAAATAGAGGACTTTCAAGCATTCTTGATGAAAAGACCAGAGTCGAATAGAAAATTTTACTTTCAAATACAAGACTCAAGTGAAACATGAAGAGATAAATAGGAAAGAGAAATCATAAGGGACTTATTAAGGTTGAACTGTTTACATTTCTGTACAGAAAAATGATATTTGTAACTTATGAGACCTTTGTCAGTATTAAGGTAGTTGGAGGGAAAAATTATATGAATATATGTATGTGTGTGTATATAGATATAGATAGATAAATAGAGGGCACAAGGTGAGTTGAAGATGAAGGGGTGATATCTGTAGAATAAAATTAAGGTGTGAGAGAGGATTATACTGAGAGAAGGAGAAAGGAAGAGGTAAAATGGGGCAAATTATCTCTCATAAAACAGACAAGAAAAGGTTTTCACAGTGGAGGGGAAATGGGGGAAGGTGAGAGGGAATGAGTGAATCTTATTCTCATAGGATTTGGCTTAAGGAGGGAATAACATACACACTCAGTTGGGTACAGAAATCTATTTTACCCTATAGGAAAATAGGGGGAAAGGGGACAAGAGAGCAGGGGGATGACAGAGGGCAGGGCAGATTGGGGGAAGGGGTTATCAGAAGCAAACTCTTCTAAGGAGGGACAGGGTCAAAAGAGAGAATAGAATAAATGAGGAGCAGGATAGGATGAAGGGAAATATACTTAGTTTTTCTCAACAGGACTACTATGGAAGTGTTTTGCATGACTACACATGTATAACCTGTATCGAGTTGCTTGCCTTCTCAATGAGGGTAGGTGGGGAGGGAAGAAGGGAGAAAATTTGGAACCCAAAGTTTTAAAAATAAATGTTAAAAAAATTGTTTTCACATGCAACTGGGAAATAAAATATACAGGAAATGAGGTATAGAAATCTATCCTGCCCTACAGGAAAATTGAAGGGGAAGAGGATAAGAGAAGGAGGGGAGGGAGATAGAAGGGAATGCAGATTAGGAGAAGGGATATTCAGAATGAATGCCATCTTGGGGTGGGAGGAAGGAGAAAAAAAAACCATAAAAAAGGTATAGTAAGAAATGATACCAAATGGTGCAAAAGATCAACAAATAAAATGGAAGAAACTCCTGTAAGATAATCCTCAGGAGTGGTGGAGTGAAGATGGGAAGGGACAGAAAACCACAAAAGGTCATGCCACTAATCCCACATTTTTGGATTGGTATCAGGGAGGAAGGGCCTGGAAGATACTATTGGCTAGTTTGACATCATTAAATAATGATAACATTCATTTTTATAGCACTTTTA